TTATTCCAGATTTCGTAATAAAAGGGAGGGGGTCTGGACCCTCCAAGACAAGCCATTTCAGGCCTCCCCCGTGGGAGAACCCTCCAAAACATCGTCCCCAGACCCCCCCAGGCCCTCCAAGATAGCCTGGAAGAGACCCCCCCGTAATGAGACCCCCCTCCCTTTATTAATGAGACCCCCCTCCCCCCGACGAAATCGGGAGTAATTAATTTTTTTTTATCCAACATCCCCCCTGCAGGGGGACAGGCCCGCCCCGGTGGCCCGGCGTGCCCGTACGTGCGGGCCGTCCGCCACACCCCGCCCCGCCTCGCGGCCGGGGCGCCTCTTCCCGCGCGGCTCCGCGGCCGCCCTTCGAGGGTTTTTGCTGCGCCCCTGGCGCGCGCGCCGGGCTGCACGCCCACGCCATGCCCTCCTCCTCCTCCTCCTCCTCCTCCTCCTCCTCCTCCTCCTCCTCCTCCTCCTCCTCTTCCTCCCTCCCTCCCTCCCTTCGCTTCCCACCCTCCCTCCCTCTCTCCCTCCCTGCTTTTCCTTCTCCTTCTCCTTCTCCTTCTCCTTCCCCTCCTTCTCCGAGGCTCAGTGCCTCGTTGTTTCTGTTGCGCCCCTGGCGCGCGCTGGGCTGAATGCCCACGCGACGCGCGCCGTCTTCTTCGTGCTGCTTGGGTCGTGGGCGCCCCCGGTCCAAGCTCACCAGCTGGTACACCTGCACAGTCAGCCCGCGCAGAAAGGATGGGCAGCCGCCCTCCCAGGGCAGTTACCCTTGCAGCCTTGCCTCCTCGGTCCGTCCTTGGCCACTTGCGTCGGCCGCGGCCCGCTCGCAGAGTGTCGACGCGGCCTTCCAAGGCTCTTTGCAGCCCTGTCGAGCGTCCTTCTCCGTAAGGGCTTCGCCCCCTGCCGCTGGCCCCCTTTCAATCAGAATGGGGCATGCAAGAGCTATGTTGTATTTTCTCGGCGCCGTCGTGAAACAATGTCGGAACCTCATGCTAGGGTAATTGGCAAGTGGCAGATCGTATTTGTACGAGGCAATATAGCCTCGGGGATGCGAATATTGAGTAATTTACGAATGTATATGGCCTCGCGGACGCAGATATGTTGTAATTTGCGCGGGTTTAAATTTACAAGGGTTTATGGCCTCGGGGACGCGAATCTTGCGTAATGTGGGAGGGTTTATGGTTTCGGGGACGCGATTCTTCTATAATTTACAAGGGTTTATGGCCTCGAGGACGCGAACATGGTATAATGTACTAGGGATAATGGCCTCGGGGGCGCGAGTATAATGTATTCTTACGTGTCCCACGCCCCCAGAGGAATTCTGAGAACCCTCCCAGGGCGTGGTAAAAAATGTTGTTTGGGGCTCCCACCCCTCGCGCGGACAGCAGCAATTAACAGTAAGGGAGCAGAAAGCAGGACTGTAATAGTGGAAACTGGAAACTGCAGCTGGAACAGGAAGCTGCAATCTTCACCCTCGCAGCCTGGTGGCCCCGCAAGGGGGCCGGCGGATATGATACGGGTCGATTCTACGGAGGAGGAGGAGGAGGAGGAGGAGGAGGAGGCGGCGGGGGGGTCCATGAACCCCCCCTTCTCTAGGCTCTGCATTTGGGGCCACTCGCGTCTTGCCTGGACAGCGAGGAGCGCCGGGGCGTGGTGGTAGCAAAAGTGAGCACACCTTGGGCCCGATGCGTCGGGGGGGGCTGCGTGTGGCTTCGCAGAAAATGCGAGAGGGCCCGACGCGCACCAACCGCTGCAACTTGGCATCGCTCGGACGTGTGCATTTTTCTCGGCGAGAACCATCGAGGACCATCCTGGACCATCGAGCAGAAAAACACGCACGAAACCGACAAATGCACGGGAAATGGACGACCGAGCGACGGCAAGGCAAGCGCGTTGGCGGACTACTCGGCCACGCGCAGAGGGGGGTAGGGTTAAGTCGGGTCTGTCCCTCCACAGGAGGAGCACTCAAAAATAGTCAAACAATAGTCTGGGTACACTGTTTGACAAATGTTTCGATTATGTTTGATTTTTGTTGAGTAGTTTCTTCTTTTATTCGAAGATCGGCCTGCAGGAGGACATGCCCGACCTGAGAGTAGGGGGGAGGACAGGCTTCTCAGAAGCACCCCTGCTTCTTTGAAGGCGCGGGCCTTCTCTATACATGCAGGGCCAGCGCCTTCTACGAAGCAGCCCCCTTCTGAGAAGCCTTCCCCCCTCCCCCTACCCCCCATGTGCGCGCCGCCACACTACGTTCTTACCCCCATGTGCGCGCCGCCACACTACGTTCTTATACTTTGTTTGCCTGGGACTGCTTGGTTCTCATACATCGGGCTTCTGTTATAGAGGAACGCTCTCCTTGTTCTCAGAACTCTGCTTTTTCTCAGAACATGGTTGTTGCTCCTGGAACTCTCCGGGGGGGGTCCGAGAACGTGTCGTGGTAAGCCTCCACAGGAATGCCGGGACGGTCGGCCCCTGCTCAAGTTGCCGCCGTCCCATCAGGGAGAGAGGGAGGCTGTGGGGCCCTCGTCGTTCTCGCAGACAGCGAACAAAAATCACCTGGATCAGCGATCCCACGGCATTCTTGGTATCGCTCGGGCGTGTGCATGTTTTTCTCGGCGAGAACCCTCGAGGTCAATCCTGGGCCATCGAGCAAAGAAAAAACACGCACGACACCGAGCAAAAAAACTGAAAGTGGACGTCCGAGCGACGGCAAGCGTTCCCACGGCGTGCCCCATGTGCCTATCCGGTGGGGAGCTGTGGAGGACTGCCGGGACGGTCGGCCCCCGCCCAGGCTGCTGCCGTCCTATCGCAGGGGGGCGCGGAGGCAGGGCGCGCGGCCGGCCCAAAGGGGCCGCTGCGGCGCCGTCGCGGACGGGGCTGCACGGCTCGAGGGAGGTTCAAATCTTTCCTCCAGGGGGGAGGAGGAGGAGGAGGAGGAGGAGGAGGAGGAGGAGGAGGAGGAGGAGAGGAGGAGGAGGAGGGAGGAGGAGGAGGAGGAGGAGGAGGAGGAGGAGGAGGAGGAGGCGCGACCTTCAAGTCTGGACCCCCTCCCCCGGGGCCGGCCTGTCCTCCCGAGACGGGCCGGCCAGCCCCCCCCCCGAGGCCGGAGCGATCGGCGAAGAGCACCTGCCGCCCCGACGTCGCCCTAGAGAGAGTCCTAAGGAGCTCGAGGGCGCCCGGGCCCCCCGCGCGCCCTCCGATGGGGGGCGGCCACGGGCCGCTCCTGGCCCTCTGCGGCGGCGCTCGCCAGTGCGGCCGCGGCGCGGGGCCGCCGGCGCGGCCGCGGCGCGCGCCGAGCGCGCGGGCGCCGCGCGCGCCGCGGCGGCCGGGGCAGGCCCGCGCCGCCGGGCGCGGCCGCGCCGCTGCGCCGCGGCGGGGCGGCGCACGCCCGCGGGCACGCGGGGCGCGCGCGGCGGCGGGGGCCACAGCAAGCCTCGGCCGCCCAGAGGGGGTCCGAGCCCAGACAGGATCTCGCGTCGCAGAAGGAAAAGATCCGGGCGGGCGGTTTTGGGCTATTTTTGTTCCCCCGGGGGGGGCCTCGCCGGGCCTCGGGGCCGTCAGAAAACGACTCAGGACGAAGATCGGTCCTGGGGAAAGGGTCGGGGCTTCCAGCCCAGACCCCCGACGTCATGAATTTTTCACGACGTCGACCCCCAACGGTCTGGACCAGTTCCCTGGGACCGGTTTTTCGTCCAGAGTCGTTTTTTGACCGTCCCGAGGGCCGGTAAGGGCCCCCAGAGTCCAAAAATAATGAAAAACCTCCCGTCGTGATTTTTTCATAACTCGAGGGGGTCTGGGAGGGACGCCGCCCTGAAAAACGCAGGATGTCGCATGTCTGGGAGCAGGTGGCGTCGGAGGCTCGCGCCGCGTCGCCGGTGCCTTGGCGATGCGGCGCGACGTGGAGCGCTCGATGGATGTCCTCCACGCCGCCGTCGCCAGTGCGTCGCCGATGCGTCGCCGACGTCGCCGATGCGTCGCCGCTGCGGCGCGATCCTCCACCCCCCTCTGCTCGGACCCAGTGGCCTCTGGCAGAAGAGCGACCTTTCGCTGGTGACCCTCTTGGTGCGGGCTCACGTGGGTCCATCAAACGTTGAGCGCCATTCCATATCAGCGGCTTGCCCGCTTGGGTTCACACACACACACACACACACACACCCGCGTCCCACCGAAAGCCGCGCCCCAAAGATCACTCTTGCCTAGGGTCACTCTTGCGTGTAGCTGAGAGAAGGGCGAGGTGAGACAACGGTCCCTGACATCCTGGCGCCTCAACTTGTTCACAACGGGTGACTTTGCGTTGTACCCGTGCCCCTGGACCATCGATACATCGGTCCGGCTCGAACAGTGTTGCGAAACGGTGGAGCCCAGGGCTCAAGCGGTGTGTGCGTGTGTGCGCGTGTGTGTGTGTGTGGTGTGTGTGTGTGTGTGTGCGCGTGTGTGTGTGTGTGTGTGTGTGTGTGTGTGTGAGTGTGTGTGTGTGTGTGTGTGTGTGTGTGTGTGTGTGTGTGTGTGTGCGTTCGTGTGCGTGCGTGCGTGCGTGCGTGCGTGCGTGCGTGCGTGCGTGCGTGCGTGCGTGCGTGCGTGCGTGCGTGCGTGCGTGCGTGCGTGCGTGCGTGCGTGCGTGCGTCTCTGTGTGCGTCTCTGTGTGTGTGTGCGTGTGTGTGTGCGTGCGTGTGTGCGTGTGTGTGTGCGCGCGCGATTTTGCAGCTTCTCGCAACGCCGGATCTCGGGGACGGTGGTTGGCCTTCGGGGGGGGGGGGGCCTCGTCGCCGTGGCTGGCGGCAGCTCGGCAACTCGGCGCGGCGCTTGGGCCCCCCGGCTCCTCCTCCTCCTCCCCTCCTCCTCCTCCTCCTCCTCCTCCACTCCTCCTCCTCCTCCTCCACCTCCTCCTCCTCCTCCTCCTCCTCCTCCTCCTCCTCCTCCTCCTCCTCCTCCTCCTCCCGATGTCTCGGGGCTCGGGGGGGGGTCCGAGGATGGCTTTGCGGTGGCCGCCGCCCCCGCCCGCGCCCTGCTCCGAGGGGGGCGCGCCCCGCGGCGGCGGGCGCCGCCGGGCAGGCGCTGCCCTCCGCGGGCGGGGCGGCGCTGTGGGGCCTGGTGGCCGTGCTGGCGCTGGACATCGCGAGGAAGCGGGTCGGGGGGCGAAAGGGGGGTTACGAAATTTGCTGCATGCAGCTGGTTTCGGCCTCACCGAGGGGCCCATTCCTCGATACATGGGCGCCTCCCGGCGCCGGGAGGCGCCGTGAAAATCAGCTACGTGAGCTGATTCTCAAACCCCCCCTTTGCTATCCCCCCCTTTCGCCCGACCCGAACATCGCGAGGAAGCGGGTGGCCCGGCGCGGCAAGGGCGACTCGGGCTTCCGGCGGATCCTCAGCGCCCTGTGGCAGCCGCCGGGGGGGGGGGGAAGAGCTCCTGATGTGGAGAGGGGTCCCGAGAGGTCTCTCGCCGTCTGCGGGCCCCCGGGGCCCTCCACGGGCCCCGGGGGCTGCCAGAAGACGCCTCGGGACGAAGGTCGAGTCTCGTCCTGGGGGGAGGCCCCAGGGTCCAGGACCCGTTCCCTTCAGGACCCCGCTTCCCCAGTGGTCAGGCAGATGTCGAGGCCGCAGAACATACCCATGTCCATGGTGCTGGTGATCGCTGGCGCCTGTGGCGCGCGGGGGCTGTCCTGGCTCGCGCTGCCCGCCGTGCGGTGGCAGGTGCTCCTGTGCATGCTCTTGACGGTCATGGTGACCACGAGCAGCTGCATGGTGAACGACTACTTCGACTACGTCGCCGGGGTGGACGGCGAGGAGTCCCAGGGCGACCGCCCGCTGGTGAAGGGCGACATCACCCCCCTCGAGGCGAAGCGTGCCCTGAAGTGGTTCTACTTCGCCATCATCCTGGCGATCTGCGTCGTCGAGTCGCGCTCGCTGCGGATCTACGTGCTCTTCAACGCGCTCCTGACGTACGTCTACACGCAGGAGCTGAAGCCCCGGGGCTTCCTCTACAAGAACGGCTGCGTAGCGATCGTCATCTCCCTCGCCATCGGGCTCGGGGCGGCCGCGGCGCAGGTCGACGCCGGCACGGCCCTCGCCGCCGGCATCGTGCAGGTCTGGCCCGCCATGGCGGCGACGTTCTGCGGCATCTTCGCCCGCGAGGTCATTATGGACGTGACGGACGTCGAGGGCGACAGCTCAGGGGAACGAACAGTGACATAAACATAAAAGCTCGGAGGTCCGCGCGGATTTCTCGGATCGGCGCTGGACCCGCCTCCCTGGCGCGCTCTGCGCGCCAGGGGCGGCGCCGGAGGCGCCGCCGGGGGGCCCCAGCGCCGATCCGAGGACTCCGCGCGGACCTTCGTGTTTTTCTGGTGATGCTATTTTTGGTTCCCCTGACAGCGCCGCAGGCATCCGCACGCTCCCCGTGGTCGTCGGCCCGCGTCGCGCGCTGTGGGTGTGCCAGGCGCGACGAGGAAGAAGCACGGCAGGAGCACGGTGGCAGTCGAAGCCGAGGGTGAGGACGGAGAACCTTCCCAAGGGCACCCTCCTCGCACCCGTGCCTCTTCGAGAACCGTCCTTGACCACTGTCGACGGCTTCGAAAAGCCGCAACACGGGCGTCCAGGGGGCTTGCAAGGCTTGCATCCTTCTCGCACGCCCTTGCTGTCAGCTCTGCCTCCAAAATCTCCGGTGGCCCGCGCAGACCTCCTGGACGGGCCCCATCCAGGGGCGCCGCCAGAGGGGCGGCAGCGCCGATGCAAGCGCTCCGCCCGGTGCTCCGCAGGCTGATGTTTGTGGCGCGTGGTCTTCCGCCCCAGACTATTGTTGAGTCGGGCGTGTCCCTCTACAGGAGGAGTATTCAGAAATAGTCCAATAAATAGTCCGGGGACGACTTTTGGACTATTTTTTATCATGTTCGGTTATTTTGTTTGGACTTGCTTTTTTTCTTATTCGCAATGTTCGTCCAAAATCGGCCTGTAGGGGGACAGTCCCGACCTGAGACTATTGTTTTTGACCGTTTTTGAGTATGCCTCCTGCAGAGGGACGTGCCCGCCTCAACCCCAAACGCACCCAAGAAGGGAGGGGATCGAGCAGGAGGGGGCCGCCTCGTCCGCGCCCGGGGCCGTGCAGCAAGCGCCGATGATCGGGGTCGGGAAGGTCCCAGACCCCCGACGTAATGAATGCTCCACTCCTCCTCCTCCTCCTCCTCCTCCTCCTCCTCCTCCTCCTCCTCCTCCACCTCCTCCTCCTCCTCCTCCTCCTCCTCCTCCTCCTCCCCCTCCTCCTCCTCCTCCCCCTCATCATCATTCTCATCCTCCTCAGAATCGGCACCCCCAAAAGCGAGGCCAGTTCCTGAACGCACCCGGGGAAGGGGATCGAGCGGGGGAGGGCTGCCTCGTCAGCGCCCCGGGCCGTGTCGCAAACGCCGCTGATCGGGGTCGGGGTGGTCCCGAACAAAAACATCGGCTGGGAACGATTTGTTCTAACTATTTTTGAGCATATTGTGGCATTGATGAACATCTGTTTCATTTTTCGTCCAAAATCCGCCCCCAGACCCCCGACGTCACGAATTTTCCGATGATTGGGGTTCGGGTTGGTTCTCCCTCCCCAGACCAAGTCGGGCACGTCTGTCTACAGGAGGAGTACTCAAAAATAGTAGAAACATCGTCTGGGGTCGCACTGACCCGGGCTTGGGTGCAGGATCCTGCAGGATCTTGCAGGATCCTTCGCGTTGACCCGGGCTTGGGCGCAGGACATTGCAGGATTCTGCAAGGCCTGGCTGACCCGGGTCTGGATTGACCCGGGTCAGAAGATCCCCGACCGATGATCGGGGTTGGGGTGGTTTCTCCTTCCCCAGACTTGAGTCAGGCACGTCTGTCTACAGGAGGAATATTCAAAAATAGTAAAAAAAAATCGTCGGGGGTCCGGAATCCAGCTCAGGAGTCCCGAGCACGCAGCTCAGGAGAGGTCTGGGGATCCAGCTGTGAGCCTCGGATTCGGATCTCCGAGACCTCCAGCTGAAGTGCTGCCGCTTTCGGCCAGTGGCACCCCGAGCCCCTTGACTGATGTTTGTGACTATTGTTCCCCATTTCCTAAGATGGTATTCTTGTTATTTCTTGGACGCCGCCGACTCCAGAGAACAATAACACACCCAGAACACAGATTACTCATGCACAGACTTACTCATACTCAGACTTACTCATACCCAGACGTAATTACTCATACACAGACTTACTCGTACTCAGGCTTACTCATACCCAGACTTACTCATACACAGACTTACTCATACTCAGGCTTACTCATACTCAGACCTACTCGTACTCAGACTTATTCATACCCAAACGTACACACACAGAGAGTTACTCATACACAGACTTACTCATACTCAGACTTACTCATACCCAGACGTGCTCATATACAGGCTTATTCATATTCTGACCTACACGTACTCAGACTTTCTCATAGTCTGAGTTACTCAACACACGACAGATTCTGAGGATGTCTCAGGCGGGGCGCTGGCTTCAGCACCCCTAAAGGGAGCCGCCAGGGGTGTTCTCATGGGCCCGTTCGCGGCCAGTTTGTGGGGATGTCTCAGGCGGTTTGTTCGTTTTCATGCCCAACACCCCTTTGCTTTCAGAGCAGATTGTGAGGATGTCTCAGGCGGGGCGCTGGTGTCAGCACCCCTAAAGGGAGCCGCCAGGGGTGTTCTCACGGGCCCGTTCGCGGCCAGTTTGTGGGGATGTCTCAGGCGGTTTGCTCGTTTTCATGCCCGACATTATGTTCTTTCAGAGCAGATTGTGAGGATGTCTCAGGCGGGGCGCTGGTTTCAGCACCCCTTAGGGGTGTCGCCAGGGGTGTTCTCACGGGCCCGTTCGCGGCCAGTTTGTGAGGACGTCTCAGGCGGTTGGCTCGTTTTCATGTCCAACATCCTTTGCTTTCAGAGCAGATTGTGAGGATGTCTCAGGCGGGGCGCTGGTCTCAGAACCCCAAAGGGGAGCCGGCAGGGGGTAGGACGCTCATGAACAGACGCTCAGTACGGCATGACATAAAACATGAGATGCACATATGGGGAGCTCCACGCAGTGAGTAATTTTTTGCCGTTCTTGAGTCTGCCTCCTGCAGAGGGGCGTGCCCGCCTCAACCCCAAACGCACCCAAGAAGGGAGGGGATCGCGCAGGGGAGGGCTGCCTCGTCAGCGCCCGGGGCCGCGCAGCAGACGCCGGTTCGGGAGCCTGGAGACGGGGGTCAGTGCAAAGGGGGGTCAGCCAGAGCGCCAGCCTCTACTCCTGGCTTTTCCTCCACAATTACCCCTCCCTGCCTCCCTGAGTCTTTGTTTTGGCGGCATGTGCGTGGATGTGCGTTTATACTTTCGGAGTTGCTCTAGATCGGATTTGAGCGAACCGTCTTAACATGAGTATCCGCAGATAAGAACAAACAATACCCTGCGACGTACCCAACCCACGTGTATCAAATGGCAAGAGGAGTATGCCAACATTAGCAGGAACAACGACAGTGTAGACGCGGCGATTTGCTGTGCAAGCTACATGGGATGCGCATGCGTCGCACGATTCACAGGACGACGATCGAAAGAACGAGGCTTGAGGCCCCAGGATCGAAGAAGAACGGGCACGGGAACGAGGGGTAGGAGAGGGATGGAATGGAGGGCGGGGGGGGCGAAAGGCCATCGCGGAAGCAGCAGCATGCATGGAGAAGGTGAGGCGGGGAATAGGACGACGATGAAAGTGGCGGGAGGAGACAGAAGACTGCCGCGTTTTTCAAGTGCGAGCTAAACCCGCAGCGCTGCCTGCGCCATGTCGTCGCAGAGTTCCACATGATAAAACTAGTTTAGAGTGCAAGGAACGAGCGAGGCGTAGCTCGCCCGCTAGCTTCTCCGCCTCCTTCCCGCACATTTCAGCGCGGGAGCTGAACGCTCGCAGGCGCGCCGCCAGGTCTGCGGGCGGCCCGCGGGAAAGAAACTCAAGGCCGGGGTCGCGTATCATCAATCGGTTGTCCATCGTCCAAAGTTGCACTGGCGACGTACTGGTTGAACGCGGAGCGAGCAGCATCACGCGCGTGCCTGAACGCCACGCAGGTACAGTGCACGCGCGATTGGGACTTCAGGTCGATCACGCGCGTCTCCACCAGGCTTGGCAACACCACGCGACTGAGGATCTCACTGCGGTCTGCCATGCTGCTGTCCGCGAATGCAATGCGCTGCCTGCAAGTAAGGCGGCGGCGTCCACTTGTCTCAGAAGATGTTCCCGCGGGCCCGAAGGGCGACCGCCAGCTCGAGCCGCGGCGCCGGCAGGCCAGATAAGGATCATGCAACAGCAAAGACGATGACAGAGCAACGAGGTATCGGCGAGTGCATGACCGGCCTCCGTTTCCTGCACTTCTTTCCTGTAGTTCCCCTAGCTCATCGAGCTCAGCAGATGTTTCTGCGGGTCCGAAGGACGACCGCCAGCTCGAGTCGCAGCGCCGACGAGCTGCATCCACGTCAGGCAACACCCCAGGAGACACTGGCACACAACGATTTGACGTCAGTCAGTGCCAGACCACTCCATGTCTAGTTCCTCGCGCACATACAGTCGACCGCAGATGCGGGATAATCGAAGTAGAATGACGGGTCCAATCTGCGTCCGCGTAGGACGTCACTATGCTGGACCCCGCAGCAGGTCTCGAAAGTGGCGACAGTTTCATGGGCCCCACAGCAGCCTTCGAAAGTGGCGGCAGTTTCACAGATCGTAGCCCCCCAGCGCTGGCGAGGTCTAATCTGAGTCCCCGTAGGACGTCACTCCGCTGGCCCCCCAGCAGGCTTCGAAAGCGGGGACGTTTCCACAGATCGCAGCCCCCCAGGGATGGCGAGGTCTAATCTGTATCCCCGTAGGGCGTCACTCCGCTGGGCCCCCCACGCAGCCTTCGAAAGTGGCGACAGTTTCACAGATCGCAGCCCCCCAGGGATGGCGAGGTCTAATCTGAATCCCCCGTAGGGCGTCACTCCGCTGGGCCCCCCAGCAGCCTCGAAAGTGGCGACAGTTTCACAGATCGCAGCCCCCCAGGGATGGCGAGGTCTAATCTGAATCCCCGTAGGGCGTCACTCCGCTGGGCCCCCCAGCAGCCCTCGAAAGTGGCGACAGTTTCACAGATCGCAGCCCCCCAGGAATGGCGAGGTCTTGCCGGAATCCCCGTAGGGC